ATTAGCATATGAACGTTGAGAGAGTTCCATTTTGGTCCTCTAAAGTAGCACAAAATTTTATATATAAGCCACACTCACATATTTTTGGACTCTCATTCATCCCCTTACTTTAATAATCATCTAAGATTAACTAAAAAATAAGTTGGTCATTCTTATTTTGAAAGGCACATTAGCAAAAACTGACCAAACAACTGTTAAATGATTGGATTAAAGACTTCTAATATGGGTAAAACCAGATGAAACTAACTCCCATGTGCCTCACAACTGAGTTTGAAGTAGAAGTATCAACCACATTTGAGCATGGTTAAAGGAGTAATTTGAACTCCTTCCAAGAATGGTAAACTTTCAGTAATGTAATGGAAGGTGGGGCAAGGAAATTGATGACCATGAATATGGCTGCAGCTCAACATGTTCTCTCCAATTATCTACTGCGAATTTATGATAAGATTTTTGCTTTCACATAACACTAAACTCAATCTCCTCACCAGCATTTTGATGTGGACATATTAATTCAGGGCATCTATCTACTTCTCTCTATACACACACACACACACACACACGAGTGATCCCTTAGCCAATGTACCCTGCACAAAATACATTATGTGACCGACATGGATTTGTTGTTTTGTTGTTTCCATCAAATATTATTCAGTTGATACTTTCCTCATATTCAAGTTGGCCCCATGCCAATCTGTAATCATTCTGTATCAAGCACTAGGTCACCAGTTTCTTCCAAGGAAAACAAGGTCTTATGATTTCTAACTCTTCTTTTTTTTTTTTGCCCTATATATATATATTTTGGTTCAAGGGCAACATTAAGACCTATAAGGGAGAAGGAAACGGGGTAGGGATGACCGCTCCTGAGCTGTTAATGGTCATGATTTGGTCTCAACAAATTGTGCGGTCCAAATCACAAGTTGCGCATCGATTTTCACATCGTGTGTGAAACCCACAAAATTTTGTACTAAAGTTACACATTGTGCAAATAAAGTTACGCCGTGTGCAACCAAAGTTACGCACTGTTGAAAATGGCCAAAATCGTTGGAAACGATTGCAGGTGCAACCGTCCGTGCCCTTTGTTCGAGAGAGAAGGAGTAAAAAGAGGATATGAAAGTCTATGGATTTCATGCTTATCTAACTAATATTTCTATCACTTGAGTTGGGTCTTAAAAATAATGTTCAGCTTCTATGTTTTGTGAGTGTTTATTCTATGTGAGTAGTCGCCTTGCAAAACAGTGGAATTGTTATGGTAGGCTTGTGGACAGAGTGAATAATTGAGGAATAGGGAAATCAGAAAATTAATACTAGTCTTTACAAGTTTAGCATATATTTTAGTAAGTGGTTGTAGTTACCATGGTTCTAGTAGATCATTGATCTAGGACCCAAAAATTATACCAAAATCTGCGGGAGATAAATTTTATAGAACTAACGTACATGGGAAGGCAATTTACACACATAAAAAATATGTGTGGAAGAAAAAGGAATAAATCAACAATATATCATTAATCACATATAATAACAAGGCTATTAATCCTTCACTCTTTTCAACTGATCACAATAATATGACTTCATATTTAAAAACCACGTAATTTGGTAAACAAATCTTATAATCATAAAAAATTTTCTAATAAAATACTAATTTTTAAATAATAAAACTACCATAACTTGACTCTCCAATAGAAGGCCCTCCGGAGCTTGGTCTAGTGGTTGAGGTTGCTGAAGATAGAGTCTTAGATCCCTGATTCGAATTTTGCTTCCAGCAAGTTGTGAAGAGTGGGGAATAGTCTACGGGGTCCACTCCCTGCGGGACACTAAAAAAAAAAGACTCTCCAATAGAATTACTAAAATCTTAACTTATTAAAACACTGCTAAATAATTATATGAAAATTTCTACTTTGGAGCCTTCATATAATATGCCAACAATTGATGTTTGATGAAAATAATAATAGATGCAGGGCAGGTGGAGAGAGGGATGGGTTGAGTAGTATAGGAGGAGGGAGTGTAAATGAAAGGTTTCGCTAAAAAAAAGATGCAGGTAAAAAATTTATCAATGTCAATAGATTAAGGGCTCTTAGGTTCTTTGCCCCAAAATAATTCTGTTCTACCTTTTTTTTTGAGAGAAAAGGTAGATGAGGTTAATTCCATTAAAATTCAGCCACATCTATATTCTAACGGCTGCTGTTCTGCCTTAAGACTTGAGGAGCCATTCGGAGACAATATAAAAAAAAAAAAAAAAAAAAAAACCTCATGCAACCCTTTATGAGTTATTTTAGTACTTGCTCTGTAATTACTCATGCAACGATCATATGCCATCATTGTGATAGTGATTGATTCGCAAGTCCGCTGTCATTCCCCTCCCTTTGTTATAGAACGCCAAATAATTGCTGCGGATTATTTATCTATACTTGTTTTTAAGCTCCATTTTTCTGTATCGCTTGACAAGAAAGACTGCACGAGTGAAGGAGCAGCCAAAACAGTCGTCAAGATTTTGACTATTTTTTTCCTTCATATCCAGAATCAAATGTTTTCCATGTCATAAATTTGAGCAAGAATGGTGCATGGATGGTCCTGAGAACAGCATTTATGCCAAAACTTTGACAGAAAATGAGCTTAACATTGTGGGGCATTTCATCAATAATGATTTTGGTCCAGGTTTTACAATAATTTACTTGTCCCCAGTAGGATTTTCAGTGCCTAGCAACTCTTTTTCGTAATAGGAACCAAAAAGAAGAAGAAGAAGAAGCAGAATGGAATGAGCCATCTGAAAAGCTTTCTTGACCATGTTGATTTGAACACGACTAGATATAACCTCGGAAAAATGGCTTCAAGCTATTTATGGAACGCACAGAAGGTGGACGATCAGTGTAAACCATATGTGCTTGCAGCACATAAGGCTTGTCCAATGAGACTCTGTCTCAGAGTAGAAGCAGAAGGAATAATTTCTGATCATGATGGACACAGCAAACAAAAATGCCTTTCTTCTTTTAAAAGAGATGCAAAACTAATATAAAATGCCATCATTAGGAATTTTCTTCATCGGATGTTAGATATGTACTGCAAGCATCCGTCATTTAAGAAAATTCCCCATGATGACATTTTATATTGGTTTTGCATCTCTTTTAAAAGAAGAAAGGCATTTTGTTTACTGTATCTATTTGTGTTTTTTTTTTTTGTCGCAACGATAATAGTTGTGTAATTTACTTTAATCTAGTCTAGGGGGAGGGAGAGTATAAGAGACAGAAAACCCCATCGAAAGCACATATGATCCTCAGTGCCACTTTTCTAGTGGCAATTCAATGTCACTTCTATATTTATGCCAAGCGTCCTATTTATTTAATTTGTCATGTGTTGTTTATTTAAATTTCTTCTATCAACACGTGATAAGTGGAATTGACACTGAATTTAGCACCGACCAGTGGCACAGAGGATCCCAACTGCATCGAAAGAGGAGCTGTGTCTATTTGTGACCATGGCCATATGATAGTATAATTGCCCAAGAAAAAGGAAAAGAAAAGAATAAGAAAAATACACTATAACTGCACAAAAGTTTTTGTTGAGAATACCAAATATCAGCCACCAAAGATTACTAGTCAGTGAAGTGCTAATAGTTGTAGAATGAAGAACAAAAACACTACTAGCCAAAATCCAAAAGGGCAGTGGAAGTGCAATAAGCTGGGAATTGATGAACATAGAGAAGGCAAAACGTGCAATGTACTTGAGAAGTAGGAAAACCCATCATCACAAGGTGATATAAAAGCATTAATTTAATCTATTACCGTCAATCAATTGAGTCATCTGAGTCTGGATTTTAATAAACTCAGATTTGATTCATCTAGTTAGTAAGATATTCGGGTTTAGGATAATAAGTTTCGAGCTAATATATATGAAACTCGTGCTTGACTCACAAAACATTCAGATTTTAAGATTAAATTGGAATTAGGCCAAACTCACTTATTATTTTTTAGTTTTCTTAGTATAATTACTATAATCATTTAGTAGTAAAGTTAATTTGAAATCTACAACATTAAAACTACACATACACCAATAATAAGTTCATCAAAAATACATAAACCAAAATTTTCTAACAATAATTGTATCTAATTCTTTTAAAATACATGAAAAATAATAATAAAACATGAAAAATATATCCATCTAATGAATCTAATTCCTTTTCCACTGATTACTAATAGTCTAATTATACATTACATGTTTAAAAATAATACATTTATAGCTATGTGTGTGTGTGTGTGTGTAATGGGTTGGGCTTTAATCAAACTAATTCTATGTAGCCCAAATTTGGCTCACTTTTTGATTGGGCCTCAAATATAGGCCCAAACTCTGACCCATCTAGAATTATAATAGGTTTAGCCCATTTTCTTTCAGGCCAAATGAGATAATTTCAAGCCATCCAAACCCTATTGACCGTGCTAAATTTTAATCAAACATTGGATTAAATAATAGATAGATAATACCAAACTTGAAATACAAAATAACTTGTTCATTCATTCCCCTATTCCTCCCACCTTGCCTTAAACAAGAAGCTTTTGAGTAGGACTAACGATGAATTATGGACACTTAATGGTCATTAGAGAAACTAACAAGACCTTTCTGTGTTTGAATGTAGTGCAAAATACTAAAGAGTTCAAGAATGGAAAACTATACCAAGATCGAAACATAACACTAGCTCCCTAGCTGATAAAAGGATAAGGTTGGTAGAGATGGTTATAATAGTTACTGTAGAAGTCAACAATACCTTTGTATATGTGAAGGCAATGAAAAAAGCGCAAAATATTGACAATCAGTTGAGACTCTGATGTGCTACAGTGTCAGTTATCATCCAAAATCTTGAAACTATAAAGTATTCCCTAACAATCACTGCTGTTAAGGGAATATTGGGCGGCAATATCTGCAGTTTAACTGCATGAAGCATCAATATATGGTAGATAGAAAGGGCAATTAAGAGCAGAGAAATTGCCAAGACAGAATTGGACAAGGCCACATTAAAACTGAAAACAGCAGGAAAAAAGCACTGCATTAATGCAACAAAAGGCAGGAGAAACCATGTCAATTGCTTTCTAAGAATAGCATTATTGTTGCCATTCTGCAGCATACCTTTTAATACAAGACCTTCGTAAGGATATATCCACTGTATGTTGTGATGCACAAGGTAGGACAAGCAACGCTAACAGCTAAAAACTCACATGATGGTTCTTAGTCAAAGGAGTTTTATGCTAAAAGGTTTGAGGTTCATCAGTTACAAACAACATCCCCTTACAGAATCTCCATGGTTGATCATCTGGTGTCCCAGAGCTTTCGACTTCTTCTATTGTTTCCGTTGCTTTGAGTGGGTGGAGTCGTCCTTTGAAATATCTTGCACAGCACAAGTTGTGTTATCTGTAAGAAGAAAGACAATGCCATTAATTATCAGAATATAGCACAACTTTGAAGGTAAGTTCGAGTCAAAGGAAAAGGCAGAAGTACAAAAACATTTTCTTATGGGAATTTAGATATAAGGGAACTAATTTGACATAGAAAAAGAAACATCAAGCCATGGAAGAGGATAAGCATATGTTTAATTTGATCATCCACTGCAGTTGCTGCATAAAATGTGGGGTTTACACTATATCTTTGCATGCACAGTCTGTTCTTTTCCCTCAAGTTGCATTCCACGATAGTATATAAACTCTTTTTTGCAGCCTTCCACCATGCCACGAACACGGATTTCCAGTTTTGATTTAGGGCCTCAGTAAGCATCTCCATTAAACAGATTACTGTTTGCTGGCTTCATGGTGTAAGAAAACCATCTTTTCACGTTACCATACCTAAAATTATCTGCACAAATAAAAGAAAAAAGTGGCAAAAATAAAAACGAACACCCGCACGGCAGATGAATAACAAAGTGCATAAACTTTCACTGATCAAAGAATATCTATGATTAGTCAAACATGTTCAAGCCAATTTGCTTCAATATTTCTTTTTAGTAACAAGTAATTTGTTATTGGTTTTAGAATAAGAAAGAAAGGCCAAATTATGTAGCACACTGATATATAGAGTTTAGGAACTGCCAAAGTTACAAAGTTGGTGCTCACTCCACCTATGTGATCCCTTTCAAATGGTAAATTATCAAGAAAACTCAATGGCCAAGAAAATATGAAACATGTAAGATCATTGTGAAGTTGAGCAAGATGCTCCATAAGCTAATTATGACAGTCCAAAGATCTCTAAGTACTTTTCTTTCTAGAAAGTAGCATGTGCTATGTTTCTTCCCTTCCTCACGTTGCAGCAATTGATCAAAAGGGGAAGCAGAAAGTGAGGTTATAAGAATGACACAAAGCATCATCTTGCCACCTTTCTGGAGACTGATCAGACTGTAGGGCTTTTAAAGTTTTTCTTACATTTTATTCCTCAATCGCAGCTCAAGCATATTTCCTGCAGAGCTACGGTCCTCGCAGAAAATCATTCCCTTCCCGGAGTGCAACAAGAATCACATGCTGAAGCTTGATTAACAAAGAAAGATAAACAGCAGGAAAAAACCTAAAGATGAAATGTAGTTAATGAAGAACACGCATAAAATAAGGCAAAGAAGAAATCTTCAAGAAAAAATTAGATTAGATGTTACATTAAAATTGATCTCTAATACTTGTTGGAGCTACTACGGGCTCTAGTTGAGTCCACTAAATTTAAGGAAGAGTAAAATCCAGGACAAATTTGAAAGATTTGGAGATTGGTTACCATGTATGATCTAGAACATCTCCGCTGGTAAGAAGTTTCAACAAACAAAGTTACTGTTCATGCTTCATAGCTGTTATTAGGTTTCTAAAAATGTGACCTAGGAGTCAATCCACAGAGAATGAAACAAAGGAGAACATAGAAATTAAGTAAATAAGAAAAACAATTGCAACGGAATGATGTTTCAGATAAAGAATTTGAGTCTCCAACCTTACCAAGAGGAAAAGAGATGTGAAGACAGATGAGATACTTGTGTCTTAAACTTCTCCAGCCTCAAGCTATCTTTGAGCTCTGATGTTGTAAAGCTATGTGTTCTGTAACACTGTGCCAGGAGTTAAGAAGCTTAAAAGGAACATGCCAATGTTTTTTCTTTTTCCAACTTGATATAAGTGACTGGAAATCTACTAGACTAAAATCTCATTTGGTGTAAGAAAGATTTTTAGACTTCCCAATTACTAATCAGATAATGTCCGTTCTTGCAGAACATAGTAAGTCTCTCCAATTTTTTGACCCTAATTTTATGCAATCCTAATCCAGCAAACCCTTCACAAAGACATATAGATAATTCTACCTAACCCCCAAAAAGACAAAGAAAAAACATAGAGACTGCCTAAAGAAATGCTAGAGATAAAAACAGTAAAATAATCCGACCACAAAATATAGATTGTTACCTAACTGGCAATGATCTGATATACATGCCCATCCATACACTTCTGAACTGATCTATCAGATTCAACAGCCGAATACCACTCGATCTTGATAGTAAATATCCTCTCAGCGTTCTTATAGACTTTTAACCTTACTTTCAGGGCATTTGGATTAGACTTAGAACTTCTTTTCTTACTCCATCTTGACAAATACTTATCCTTTTAGACTTTTTTTTTTCCGAAACGATAAACCTAATCTATTCTACACTAAAGGAGAGGGGACGGAGTTAAAGAGGTCCAGGGATAATCCGGAGAGAATTGAACTACCACCGAATCAGACGGATGCACAATACACCCACATGAATTTTTTAGAAACAAATCACTTAAATGTGTCATTTTTGGAGGTGGTGGCCACCAGCCTGGGCTGGTGGTTACTTATCCTCTTAGACTTGTGTAGCCGGATCACAAGAATAGGCTGGTGGTTACTTATCCTCTTAGACTTGTGTAGCCGGATTACAAGAATACTATGTGAATGTGTCAGCAATAGGTGGAACATAGTTGTCCTAAGTCCTGATGTGCGTCCTGTAGTACATCAACAAAAGAGTGCTAAAAATACATAAATAAAAGATTTGGTCGAGATATCACAATAAATAATTTTTTTTTTAAAAAAAAGAAAAAACATTGCATGCTTCAATCAACATCAACACAAATGAAATCTATAGGAAAACTTGACAAGCTGGACTATTTGAAAAAAAGGGGGTTTTAGTTTTACAATCAAACGATGCATCTTACCACACAAAAAATACAAGTTTTTGTTGGGAAAGGGATACTAGTACAGGCACACAATATCAGAGTTAGTCCAAGACAAATTTCTCTTTCCTCAAATACCAATTAAAATAGAAACAAATTAAATCACCAAATAATAATGCCAGCAATGATAATAACATGCAAAGAAAATAGAAGGCACAAGACACCAAGATTTTTATGTGAAAAACCTAATTAGGAAAAATCATAGGATCTAATCCAGTCAAAATCTCCATTATCACAATAATGGAAATACACAGGTCTATCCGAAATATTCGCACAACAATAATATCACCACCACCAATCAAGTGAAATTGCTACAAAATCACCCTAAAAAACTACAACTGTCAAAGAAGTGAATTTGGAAAGGTGTTACCAAACGAAGAGAAAATCTGAAATCTGAACTGGTAGATGAGTAGAACTAGGGGTGACAATCGGGTCGGATTCGGGTTGGCGGGTCGGGTTGAGGTTAAAGTATAATAAGAAACCTGCTGACCCGAACCCGACCCGCCAACCCGAAACGGGTCAGGGTACCTGACACGAACCCGAAAATTTCGGGTTGGCGGGTTGGCGGGTCGACCCGAAATGACCCGAAACTTAATTTTAATTTATTAATTTATCACTGTAATTTCTAATAAAATCAATTTTTCACAAAATTAATTACATCATCAAGTAATAAAAATTTAAATAAATAATTTCAAACCAAATCTAAAATAAATTAAACACCATAAAAGTGTTTTATCCCAAACCAAATATAAAATAAATTAAAACAGCATAAAAGTAAAAAATAACATAATATATTATTTGTTCAAATATAATAATTTTAATTTCACACAAGTTAAATAAATTCATTTAGGACTAAGTAATTAATGTCTTTGGAAAAAAAGAATGATTTAGTTTAGCTAGATAAAATAATTTTAATGTTTATTAAATTAGTTTTAATTTGTAAACGGGTCACATCGGATCATATCAGGTCACCACGGGTTGACCTGAAATTGACCTGTTTTTTTTTCGGGTTCATCGGGTTCGACCTGATTCTGACCCGAACTCCCGAAACCTCAACCCAAACCCATTAATTTCGTGTTAGATTCGTGTCGTGTTTTCAGATCGTATCAGGAATTGCCACCCCTAAGTAGAACTTAACAAGAGAATCGCGTGTGTAAAATTTCGTCTCAATCGGGTTTCAAATTACCCTCCAATTAAGATCTTGAAGTTTTTCTCTCTCTAGCTCTTTCTCTCTCTTCGTCTTTCTCTCAACCAGCAAAAGATGGCGGCTATCTTTTTTTTTTTTCTCTCACTCGAGGATCGAAGAGTTGAAATTACCTCATGCGGCTGCTGCTTGTAGTTAAACTTGAGAAACCCTCAAGTGTTGTTTACTTGCACAAAGGGGTTGGCCCACAAATGGGCTGACCCACACCCAACAATCTCCCCCTCCAGTTCATTTGGGGAGTTCCACCAACCCTGCTTCTTGTCTGCAAAATAAAAGTTTCTCCTTAAGTAATGCCTTGGTAAACATGTCAGTACCATTATCATTTGTATGCACCTTCTTAAGTGTCAATAACTTGAAATCCAATACTTTCCAAATCCAATGATGTTTCACATCAATATGTTTGGATCAAGAGTGAAATGTAGAGTTCTTACACAAATGAATAGCACTCTGACTATCACAATAAAGACTATACTTATCTTGTTTCATACCCAACTCATGAAGGAATTTCTGCAACTAAAGAGTCTTCTTGCATGCTTCAGTGGTTGCAATGTACTCCGCTTCCGTATTAGAAAGGGCGATACACTTCTGTAACTTATTTTGCCATGACACTGCTCCCCCTGCAAAGATCATCAAGTACCCAGATGTGGATTTTCAATTATCAAGATCACCTGCCATATCTACATCAGTGTATCCATCTAGCATAGTTTTACCATTGTCGAAACATAGACATAATCTAGAAATTCTCTTGAGATACCTGAGAATCCATTTGACAGCATTCCAATACTCCTTACTAGGATTAGAGAGATACTGACTAACTACTCTAACTGCATGAGCAATATCTGGCCTGGTGCAAACTATAGCATACATCAAGCTACCAACAGCCGAAGTATAAGGAATCTTTTTCATGTCTTCTTTATCTTTCTCACTTATAGGACACTGTTTGATATTCAATTTAAAGTGACCTGCAAGTGAAGTTGAGACTTCCTTAGCATTGCTCATGCTAAACCTGTTGAGCAATTTCTCAATGTATTTTTCTTGAGACAACTAGAGCTTCCCATTTTGTCTGTTACGTGAGATTTTCATTCCCAGTATCTGTCTAATCGGACCTAAATCCTTCATTGCAAAGGATTTACTTAACTCCTTTTTCAACCTGTCAATTTTTATAGTATCACGGCCAACAATTAACATATATCAAGAGAATAACAAATCACCATCTGAAAATTTTTTTACATAAATACAGTGATCAGATGTAGTTCTGTGGTACTCATAGTCTACTATGAAGGAGTCAAACTTCTTATACCATTGTCTCAGTACTTGTTTCAACCCATACAAACTCTTCTTGAGACGACATACAAGATTTTCCTTACTACTTTCTTTGAACCCCTCCGGTTGCTCCATGTAGATCTTCTATTCCAAGTTGCCATGCAGGAAGGTTGTCTTCACATCAAGTTGTTCGATCTCTAAATTCAAACTGGCTGCAATACCAAGAATAACTCGAATTGATGACATTTTTACCACAGGAGAGAAGATTTCTTCAAAATCTACACCCTTCTTTTGACTAAATTCCTTCACAACCAATCTTGTTTTGTACTTTGGTTATGAGTTGTGCTGCTGAGCCTTCAACCTGTAGATCTATTTATTCTTCAGAGCTCTCTTACCCTTAAACAATTTCACTAAGTCATAAGTATGATTCTCATACAGGGACACCATCTCCTCTTGCATGGCTTGTAACCAATCTTCTTTGTTCTCATACTCTAAAACCTCACTGTAGGACTCTGACTCTCCTCTATCTATTAACAACAAATATTCATCAGAATTATATCTGCTAGAAGGTCTCCTTTCTCTGGTAGATCACCTAATCTCATCTTATGGTGGCGGTGGTGGAGTAGGTAGTGTTTCATGCGCAGGTTTATCAGTAGTAGAATTATCACCATCATTAACATCCTCTCTCTGCTCTATCTCAACTCCCTGTTGATTAAAATCAACAGGTACTGGAATTGAATTTGGATCTGAATTTGAACTAGCAGAAATGTCATCTGAGAATTTTGAATTATCACCTTTATCAATGTCTTCAATGGTTTGATTTTCAAAGAATACAACATCTCTACTCCTGATAACCTTTTTCTCGATAAGATCATACAATCTATAACCAAAATCTTCATGTTCACAACCCAAGAAAATGCATTACTTTGATTTTACATCAAGTTTTGACCTCTCATCCTTGGGAATATGAACAAATGTCCAGCAACCAAAAACTCTCAAATGCTTAAAGGACACATCTTTTCCCGTCCATACCCTCTCTGAGATATCACCATCTAGAGGAACTGATGGAGAAAGATTTATCAAATCAACTGCAGTCCTCATTGCCTCACCCCAAAAAGGTTTTGGCAGTTTAGCATTAGAAAGCATACATCTGACCAGCTCAGTGATGGATCTATTCATCCTCTCTGCTACTCCATTTTTTTGAGGAGTTTTTTGTACAGTTTTATCTAATCTGATTCCATGGAACTTGCAATAGATTTCAAATGGTTCTCTGTACTCACCACCATTATCAGCACGAATATACTTTAACTGTTTGCCAGTCTCCCTTTCAACTTTGCTATGAAAATCTTTAAACACATCCAAAATCTGATCTTTAGATTTCAAAACAAAACATCAAATCTTTCTAGCAAAGTCATCAATAAATGTTACAAAATAAATAGCACCACCAAGAGACTTATCTTTCATATAGTAAACATCAGTGTGCACCAATTCTAACGGATTCAATTTTCTAGATGGAAGAAAATTTTTGAATGCAACTCTGTGTTCTTTCCCATAAATGCAGTCAACACAAGGTTTAAGTGCATTACTTCTAACTTCAGGTAGGAGC